TCCCTGCACTTTGGGAGGCTGAGGCGGGTGGATCACCTGAGGTCAGGAGTTTGAGACCAGCCTGGCCAATATGGTGAAACGCTGTTTCTACTAAAAATACAAAAATTAGCCTAGTGTCATAGCATATGCCTGTAATCCCAGCTAGTCAGGAGGCTGAGGCAGGAGAATGGCTTGAACCCGGGAGGCAGAGACTGACATGAGCCAAGACTGCGCCACTGCACTCCAGCCTGGGCAACAAGAAACTCCATCTCAAAAAAAAAAAAAAAAAAAAAACAAAGAAAGAAAGAGAGAAAGAGGCAGAGTTTCAGGAGTAGTCAGACAGCAGCTACTCAAAGCTGCCAGGCCCCTTAGGCTCTACTCTGTTCTGAGTGTGTGGATCAAAACGAGGAACGGGGCCCAGCCAGAAGGCTCGGGACTCTCCCTAGGCACACTGCCATGTCACTGTGGGCACTGGGGCAGACAAAGTCACTAACGAGAAACTGTGCCAAGGGTGGTGGGAACAATGGAGATGCCCCCAAATACCATCCTTTGACCTTATGAGCCCACAAGATGACTTTGACCATCTAAAGAGGAACAGAACTCCAGCGAGTTCCGCCTCAGTTTTTCTGTTCCCAGATGGCAGAGAATGTCAAGCACAAATGGGAAGAAGCCTGACTTCCTCTTTTTCTTTTTCTTTTTAAGGCAGGGTCTTGCTCTGTTGCCCAGACTGGAGTGCAGTGGCTCAATCACAGCTCACTGCAGCCTCCACCTCCTGGGCTCAAACGATCCTCCCGTCTCAGCCTCCCTAGCTGGGATCATAGGCACATGCCACCATGCATGGCTAATTTTTAAAAAGGAATGGAAAACCAAACATTGTATGTCCTCACTGATATGTGGGAGCTAAGCTATGAGGACATGAGGACACAAAGGCATAAGAAGGATGCAATGGGCTTTAGGGACTTGGGGGGAAAAGTGGGAGGTGGGTGAAGGAATAAAAGACTACAAATATGGTGCAGTGTATACTGTTGGGGTGATGGGTGCACCAACATCTCACAGATCCACTAAAGAACTTACTCATGTAACCAAATACCACCTGTACCCCAATATCTTATGGATAAATTGTGTGTGTGTGTGTGTGTGTGTGTGTGTGCGTGTGTGTGTAGACAGGGGTCTCCTTATGTTGCCCAGGCTGGTCTTGAACTCCTGGTTTCAAGCGATTCTCCTGCCCTCAACCTCCCAAAGGGCTGGGATTACAGGTTGGAATCACTGCACCCAGCCAAAACCTGACTTCTAAAGGCAGAGGCCCACGTGAGAAAGTCGTTGAGGCAGTGAGCTGCAGAGGACGACGACTTACATTTCTCATTTGTGAGTGTCAAGCCCATGGGTTGGGGCAGATTGCTTGCCTACAATGCCCAGGCTTGTCCTTCCAGGGTTCAGAAGGCATGTGCAGGGACTCCTGCGGTGTGAGAGAGTCACCCTTTGGCATGTGGGTTCCCGACTGGCGTTGACTGTCACCAGCTGGAATCCCTGTCTGGGGCTGCGGTTTCCATCTTCATGGCTACTGGGAAAGTGTATTTGCTTGGGGCCTTAAACAAAAAGGAAAGCTTCTTTCTGTGTCATGTAGAAGCCCAGTCAGAGCAGCCCAGGGCTGGAGAGGGGATCTGCAGTGTTCCTGGGCACAGGCTTCTTCCGGCTTATTGTTTTCATCTCCAGGGTGTGGCTCTTTTCCTGTGGTTGCAGATGGCAGCTAGCTCCAGACACAGCTTGGAGGATAGGATGCAGAAGGGGTGCAAAAGACCAGCCCCAGCCTTCTTTGCAGGAAGGTTCCAGAAGTTGCCACACATCACTCAGATCCAGGTTGAGCATGGTGGCTCACACCTGTAAACCCAGCACTTTGGGAGGCTGAAGCAGGAGGATCGCTTGAAGCTGGGAGTTCAAGACCAGCCTGGGCAACGTAATGAGACCCCATATCTATAAAAAGAAAACACAAAAAACCCCAGGTTAGCCAGGGAGGGTGGTGCCCCTGTAATCCCAGCCATTAGGGAGGCTGAGTCAGGAGGATCGCTTGAGCCCAGGAATTAGAGGCTTCGGTGAGCCACGATCACCCCACTGCACTCCAGCCTGGGTGACAGAGGAAGACCCTTCTCCCCAATCACTCCCCCAAAACCCCAAAGAACAAAATACTCAGATCCAGGGGCATGGTGACATGACCAGACCTAGCTGCAAGAGAGGCTGGGACATGTGGGTTTTATGTGGGAGGACCGCTCATGTGTCAACTAGGGGAGTTTAATGGAATCTTGATAAATATGTAGAAGACATATTCAATGGAAAGAACAATGGGACCCATTGCCGCATTTTTTATTCATGTGACATTCATATATTGCTTGTTATGTGTTAGTCATTCCAACTAAGCATTTTCCATGGATTAACTTGTTTAACCTTTTCAAGAGTCTGTGGAGCAGCTAATAGCGGCTCCTGTTTTGTTTTTTTTTGAGTTGGAGTTTCATTCTTGTTGCCCAGGCTGGAGTGCAGTGGTGCAATCTCAGCTCACTGCAACCTCTGCCTCCCAGATTCAAGCGATTCTCCTGCCTCAGCCTCCCAAGTAGCTGGGATTACAGGTACCTGCCACCATACCTGGCTAATTTTTTTGGTATTTTTAGTAGAGATGGGGTTTCACCATGTTGGCCAGGCTAGTGTAGAACTTTTGACCTCAGGTGATCTGCCTACCTCGGCCTCCCAAAGTGCTGGGATTACAGGTGTGAGCCACCGTGCCCGGCCGGCCCCTGTTTTACAGGTGACAAGGAAGCTTAAGTGGAAAACTTGGGGTTATATAGCAAGTAAGTGGCTGAGCCAGGATTGGAACTCAGTCGCTTTAAGATGTATGCTCTCATCTCCTGCACTATTCTGTCACCCACATGGGGCTGCTGCCCATAGGACTCAGCTGCTGCCCTTCACCTGGCTGGGGGGTGGGCTAGCCAGGCCACCAATCTCTGGGGTCAGCTAAGAAACTGAGCTATTGGGCTCTGAGTGTCCCTTGCTGCAGCCTAAACAGGACAAGCCCAGGTGATGCCAGTCACTGCCAGAGGGGCCATGAGCATTGCCGCGGAGCCTGGGGCTGCCCAGGAAGCACAGAGCTACTCAGCATTGGCAGTTGCCCCTTACCTGATGGCAGGGAGACTTGGGACTTTGCCTGTGCTAAAGGGGCTGGGGGACAGGGCAGCTTGGGGTGAGTCACAGTAACTGCCCAGGGGATGAGAAAGTGCCTCTGAGCAGCTCAGGGTGGATGAGGCCTCTCATGTGGATAATGGGGGTACCCCCAGACAGAAGCTGACAACTGTGACCCCAACCCTGTAGGGACTGGGAGGTGAAGACAGGCTGTGAGAGCCAGGGTTGTGATATAGGGGCAGTGACCTCCTAGGCTGGGCACCTCCTGCTCTCTGTAAAGCAGCTTCACCTTTTTTTTTGAGACAGAGTCTCGCTCTGTCTCCCAGGCTGGAGTGCAGTGGTATGATCTCAGCTCACTACATCCTCTGCCTGCTGGGTTCAAGCGATTCTCCTGCTTTAGCCTCCCGAGTAGCTGGGATTAAAGGCGCATGCCACCATACCCGGCTAATTTTTTTGTATTTTTGTAGAAACATGGTGACATAGGGACTGGCCCTCAGAAACCTGGGGCTTCTGAGAGCAAGGCCCTATGTCACCATGATGGCCAGGCAGGTCTCAAACTCCTGACAGCAAGTGATCCGCCCTCCTTGGCCTCCCACAGTGCTGGGATTTACAGGCGTGAGCCACCTTGCCCAGGCGGCTTAACCCTTTTGAATGGAAGTGCCCACCTAGGTGGATGGAAAAATAGAGGAACTCACAGCTGATAGAGGAGTCTTTCCTCACAGTGAGAATGAAGAAAGGTCTTCAGATCAGGGAGCCAAAAAGCCAGCAAGGATCATTCTCCTCCCCGTGGCCTCGGGGCAAAGGGGCCACACTACGGGGTCCTCTGTTTTGGGTGGCAGCGATTGTCTTGGGGGACTCAGCTGAGGACAGGAACTCTGGTGTCCAGCCTGGATGACTACTCCTTTTTGCTCCTTCCTTCCAGGGCCTATGGGAGAAGCAGTTGGCATGTTCTGCAGGGTGCTGAGATTATATCTTGCAGACGGTCTAACGGGGTAGGAGCATTTTTCTTCTTTTCCGGAGCCCTTTCACGTGTCCTGGGTGGGGTGGTAGTGGCAGCAGTGGTGGTGGAGATTGGCAGGAAGAAATGAAAAGATATTCCTGCCGGGCGCGGTGGCTCAAGCCTGTAATCCCAGCACTTTGGGAGGCTGAGGCGGGTGGATCACGAGGTCAAGAGATCGAGACTATCCTGGTCAACATGGTGAAACCCCGTCTCTACTAAAAATACAAAAAATTAGCTGGGCATGGTGGCACGTGCCTGTAATCCCAGCTACTCAGGAGGCTGGGGCAGGAGAATTGCCTGAACCCAGGAGGCAGAGGTTGCAGTGAGCCAAGATCGCGCCATTGCACTCCAGCCTGGGTAACAAGAGCGAAACTCCGCTGCAAAAAAAAAAAAAAAAAAAGATATTCCTTTACCTCCATGGAGGAGCCAGGACCCCTCATGTTTCTAAGGGTCTGCCTTCCCTCAGCACTCAGGGACTGCATGTGTGCATGTGCACAGCCATGCTGGGAGTAGAGGAGGTCGTGGGGGGTTTTCTGATGGTCCTTGAAATTCTCTCTTTCAAGCATGTTTGTGAGAGAAAAGAAGCAGAACTAGGGTTGTATGTGTGGCAGCCCTACAGGGGGAAGGACCAACCAGGGGACAGAGAAGCAAACCCAGAGGCCATGAACAGCTGGAAGCTGCGAGCACTCTTAGGCAGGAGAGACAAGGAGGAGGCCAGGTCCCTGGAACGCAAGGGCTGAGCAGATGAGGAGGAAAACATGGTTGTCAGAGGCGCTACCTGAGGCGGGAGGGAGGCTGCAAAATGCCCTGGGCCTTCCTCCCGTCCTCCGATCTCCCACCAAGTCCTCTTTCTTACCTGCCAAATCCAGTCAGAAGCCCGCAGAGCAGGAGCCTGGGACACACAGCCTGCAGGGATCAGCCCCCACTACAGAGTTCAGGAAGGGCAAGGAGGGGCTCTGCGGGCCAACAGGTCTGGCACTGACGTGGGGAGGAACAGGAGGAGGAGATGAGGGGGAGGCTGGGGGTGCAGCTGTCTCCTGACTGTGGTGCATAACAGGGCATTGCCCACGGGCTGCTGGAGAGTCCTGCTAAGGCCTGGGATCAGAGGACTGACTTGGCCCCATGCCTGCTGTGTCTTTGGGGTGCTCTGCTCCCTGGTGGAGAATGAGCTCCCTGCTGGGCAGAGTCCTTACACACCACGAGCGTGTGACCCTCCAGGATGCCCTAAATCCTCAGGGGAACACAGGGACCTGGTGGGCCTGGGAGAGGTGGCAGAGGGGCTCCTGGAGTTGTCCTCTGTGGCTGAAGAGGGGCGCAGCAGGTGGAAGGTACCTCTGTAGTGTTGTGGAGGGAGGCAGAGGACAACTCACAGAGGTGATTGTAGGTGGCCCACGCCATAGGATGAGGGAAAATCACCATGGATCTGAGAGATTTCAAGGAGGGGGAGTCAGGAGGACTTAGACACTGATTGGATGCGACCAGGGGCATGTGACATGGGATTCATTTTCCTTCAAATAGGAGGAGGAAATAACGATGGTCCCAGGTACTTATGTGTGATGGGGGCAGCCACACCCCCTGGGGGCTTCTGAGGGCAAGTCCCTATGTCACACGTCATGCCTAGTTCAGAGAAGCCTCCAGGAGAGCAGGCTCTGGGGGAGGGCACGCAGGGCTGTGGAGGCTGCCTCCCAACCTATTCTCTGCTGCTGGATCCCTGGAGTCCTGGGGCAGGTGGGGGTGCCCAGAGGAACCCCACACCAGGTGGAAAGGTGTGGGTGAGCTCTTGGAGCTATGGGCCCAGTCTGATAAGGGCAAGGCCTGCCATGGTCTGAGCCTGAGGACAAAGGCTTCAGTCGGCCACACACGTGTGCTCCAGTCTGGTCCTGGAAGCTCTCCAGGGTCCTGGGACGCCCTGACCCCCACTGCTCAGGCACAGGGACCCCACTCCACTGGTCTGTAGGCCTTGAGCCTTTGCTGCCTGATCTGTGGCTATGCTGGTCAGTGCCTCCCCACTCCTGCTCAGACCTAAGCTCTGATGGACATCAGAGCCCCTCCCCTCATGACCTGCCCCTTTCCCTGCCCGGGGTCTGAGCTCACCGCAGGGCTTTCCTGCCTTTCCTGGGAAAGAGGAATTACCGGCAGGTTTCAGAGCAGCACAGCTTCCTCCTAGACATGAGAAAGCAAAAATCAGAGGTGGCACCATTGGGCTACAAGCCCTGGGCCCAGGACACAGACCTGGGCCCCCACCTCGTCCCATCACACCCTTTTCACCTACCTAGGGAGGGGATGATATTTAAGGTCATCAGAGGGTGCTGGGGCTAACCCATCCACAGGCCTGGCCCTTGGAGGAACTGAGTCTCCCTGAGCTAGTAGCTTGTAATGGGGTCCCTCTTCCTTGCAACGCCCCCAGCTGCACCCTGACTGCCCCAGGTCCAGGCTGTTCCTCCAGGCATGCCTTTGCTTGTCTGCCCCGCCCCGCCTGTGTGCCTTAGAACCCTCCTGAGTCCCAGGCGCTGCCTTTAGCCTCTTCTCCTCAGCCAGACGGTGGCTCCCCCATGTTAGAAATTGGGTGATCCCCCTCTTCTCTGTGGCCCCCAGTCCACAGAAAAGTCTTTCAGACTTGAATGAAAGATGCTTCTTTTCCAGGGCTGGGCCTGGACCCTGGGGCTTGGAGGGAAACATGCAGACTTGGAGAGCTGTGACCTGCCCTGTGAGCCTGGTCACCACCTTCCCGTGGGCCTGTCCAGGAGATTTTGGTGGGCTCTGAGGCAGGGAGAAGGACCCAGGGATCCAATCTGGTGCCTCCCTGAAGTCCCAGGCTCCCCATCCTAGCTGGCCATTGGGAGAAAGAGACAAAGGTCCCTTGCTGCTTCCTCCCAATGGCCAGCAGGTGGTGCTGTGCCCCCAGCTTTGCAGGCCTCAGGACTCAGCTCTGCAAGTTTGCTTTGCCTAGACAGGGGGCTGGGCGGCAGCCCTGGAGGGCCCCCTGAATCCCCCCAGAGTCCCCCTGTGGCCTCCTTCCTGCCTCTGCTGGTGGTATCTGGTGGGGTGGGATGCCTCCCAGGACTAGCGGAACCCGAGCTGAAGAAGTCTGAACACAGGTTCACGGCGTGCTCCCTGCCACAGCTCAAGCCGTCCGAGAGGCTCCCGGCTGCCCAGGCTCTGTTCTCTGTACCATGCACTGTGTTAGGTGTGGCACGCCCATCAGCTCCTAGATTCACCAGCAACTGTGGGAAGTAGGTGCCTGTTGTACAGATGAGGACACCAAGGGCAGGAAAGGCCAGCAAGGCCACTTGGCTACCATGTGGCAGGGCTCAGCATGCAGCCCATGCCTGTCGGACTCACACGTGTGTTGCTAATCCCTGCACTGGAGGGTAGCTACGTTCCGGAGGAATTATAGCTCTTGTGCTAAGAGTCCCAAATCAGGAGCCATCCCAGCCTCCCTTACCCCAACACTGGGATTCTTTGTCCACTCACTTACGGCCCTAAGCTGAACCCAAGGGGGCAGCCTAAGCCTGTGTGACTGCGGGGTGTTGTAACCTGACAACTCCATTCTGCTGCTGGTGCAGGGGACGGGGACCAGGGCGAGAGAGCGACCCTGGGAACCACAGGGCGGAGGAGTGCCCATCTCCTTTCTCTGTCCGCTCTTTTCACAGCAGGCCTCTTCCTCACCCTGCTTCTCCCTGGCTCTGCTCTCTTCCTCTTCCTCAGCTGGCTAGATGCATCTCCCTCTCAGATTCTGTCCCTAGTACCCCCTTGTACTCTGTCAGCCTTTCTCTCTTTTCATGTCTCTGTCTTTCTCCAACAGAATCGGAGTTAAGTGACAGAAGAAAAACGATCCCCTCCTGCCAGGGTTATTAAAATCGTGTTCTACAATTGAGCCGCCAGGAGAGCCCGTCTAATGACTGATGATGAGGCCACAGCGTCCCCGCAGCTGGGAGTGAGGTGATAGGCCCGGCTGTGGGATTACCACCAATTACTCTGGGCAGAGTGAGCAGCTCTTCTCGTCTCCTTCAAATCACCTCCCTCCTGCTCCTGGGAGATAAAGTCTCACCCCTAGTGGGGAGGCTGAAGCTGGGGTGAGGGGGAGGAGCTGGAGCCGCCACGTAGTCCCCAAGGTAACTTGCCCAAGGTCAAGTAACCAGTAAGGGGTGGGGTGGGTCCTTGAACTCTAGACTCCCAGTGCTTTAAAAATTCATTAGGCAGCCTCCCCTCTGTGAACAGGGCATGAGAAATTATTTTGTTTGCCAGAAAATGATAGTCCTTGGTCAACTAGATAGTCCTTGGGCCACAGTAAGAGAAAACAAGGCCAGCCGAGTTGGCTCAAGCCTGTAATCCCAGCACTTTGGGAGACGGAGGTGGGCAGATCATTTGAGGTCAGGAGTTCGAGATTAGTCCGGCCAACATGGTGAAACCCCATCTCTACTAAAAATACAACAATTAGCCGGGCATGGTGGTGGGCACCTGTAATCCCAGCTACTCGGGAGGCTGAGGCTTGAGAATCACTTGAACCCGGGAGGCAGAGGTTGCAGGGAAAACACATTGCAGCAAAGTGAATTTTAGTTAGACACTAGGAAGGACTTCCCAAAGGAGTTGCCTCTAAGACAGACGATTGAGATCTGCGGTTTCTCCCTTGGATGGCCTTTCACCACAAAAGGGATCCTCTTGGCAGTCTTTCTAAGCTACACAAGGTGCTGGTGCTACGGAATCCATCCAGTGGAATTTGAGAATGGGACATGCTGGAGTCAGGGAGGCTTGACAACTGCAGAAGAGATAAGGCAGGTCATATATTAGACCCAGCCCTGAAGCCCAGAGCCCTGCTCGTGTGTTAGACCCAGGCCAGATGCCCGGTGTGGGCAGGGGAAGCCAGGACCCTTCATGCTGCGGTTGGTTTCCTGAGTCAGCTCAGTTATAGATAGTGCTTTGTGTGTGTGTGTGTGGGCGGGGGGGGGTGCGGCAGCAGGGTCACAGCTCACAAAGCCCTCCCATGTGCAGCTTATTTAAATCTCCCATCCACCCACTGTGGCGGACAACTGAGAAATTATTATCCCCATTTTGCAGGTGAGAGAATGAGTCTCCAAGATGGGAGTGAGTCAGCCAAGGTCACACAGAAACAAGGTCCTGGTCCCTGGGCTTGGACACCAGACCTTCTCATGTCACCAGGCTGTGAGGCCAGTGGGGGCTGCAAGCTGCCCCGCACCCTAATCCACCTTCCCCTTCCAGTCTGACCAATGGCTCCTTAGCTCCCCCCACCTTGGGGTGAAGCTAGTCGGGGGAGGGCTGGTGCTAGCACCACAATCTGTACAGGACGAATGAGTATCTCTTTTCCATCTGGATTCTATTATTTTTCAGTTTATCGTGGTCAAAAAGCACAAGATGAACATCTGGAGGAAAAAAATATATAATCTTTGAGAAAATTGAAAATATATATCATTGTTTGGGGTTGGGGGCTTGGCGCCCTGGAGGCTGGCTCTCCCTGGCTTATTCCTGGGCCTGGCTCAGCCTGATTGCGGGCTCCGGGGGATCTCCAGGAGAACTCCCTCCCCGCCTTTGGGGCTTGATCTGGGATCTGGTCTCGTGTGTGTGTGTGTGTGTGTGTGTGTGTGTGTATGTGTGTGTGTGTGTGTATGTGAGTGTGTGCACGCACACACACACACACACACACACACACACTCTCTCATGCAGGGGGTGCTGGGGAGGAGAAGAGAGGTCTCAACCTCTTTCCCTGGGGATTTGGGCATTTTCTGGAAATTTCTGGGATCTCCAGATTGTTTGCTGCAGGAGAAACACCCACCTCAGCAATAATAGCCGGGGTGTACCGAGGCTTTACTGCGGACCAGATACCCTTCCAAGCACTTCCCGTGTCTTCTAAGGATTTTTCATCTCTTTTATTCCTTACACAAACCCTGTATTTAGGTACCGCCTTCTCCTTCTCATAGCTGAAGAAGCTTAGGTATAGAAAGC